GAGAAAATACAAATGTCTTTACAAATGCAATCTTCACAAAATATAACAGAAACACCCATGCAAATCATAATCCTCATTTCTGCAACTGGTCACGTGTCCTTCGATGGTATTTATAGCTACTCTACCACCCTTTCTGTACTTTTGTCACCCTCTGTAATCACCTCAGCAGGTCTTGGCTGTTTTCCTGGAGGAATGACCCATATCCTGACATGTCTGTGCCCTTTCTCACCCTGCTGGATTATGCTGTTTTAGTTTCCCATTAACTTTAATGACGGGTCATGATAGCACCGAGATATGCCCTAAAGTATCTCCTGCATTCCAGGGATAATCCTTCTTACCTCCAGTGTAGAGAGGCAGCCCAATTTCCGTGGTGATTTGGATCTAGCACCCCTCCTAACACTGTTAATCCTTTCTTAGCCTGTTGATTTAAGGGCAGTAAAAGACCAAAGTGACCGGGGGAAATCTGAGCTTCCAGTTCAATGGGATGTTTATCGTGGATCCTGGCAGGAGTACTCTCTATCCTGGAACCAAAATTTCTAGGCCAGCAGAATTTAGGGTTGTGCAAACAGGAAGCAAAAATCTTTCTTAATGGATCACTCAGGAGGGATGATAGTGAATGGAACGCTTCCCTTTTCCAATCCTTGATTCCTGGACTCATGGATCCTCACTACAGGGGAATAGTACTATATATTGGACATTAATTCAAAGCGTATATTGCCTTCTGGAGAACCCTGCCATAGCCCTCCATGCCGCTGTCTCCTAATTGGCACTGTAATTGTGTCTCCAAAAGGCCATTCCATTTTTTAATCAGGCCACCTGCTCCAGGATGATGGAGAACATGGTAAGACCAGTGGATTCCATGATCATGGTTCTGTCACACGTCTCTTGCTGAGAAGTGAGTTTCTTGGTCAGAAGCCATACTGTGTGAAATACCATGTCGTTGGATAAAACATACTATTTGTCCACGGACGGTGGTTTTGACAGAAGTATTACACGCAGGAAAGGTAAATCCATAACTAGATCAAGTATCTACTCCAGTAAGGAAAAAGAGTTGTCTTTTCCATGAAGTGTGTTGTCCATTGTAGTCAACCTGTCATCAGGTTGCCGGCTAGTCACCTTGGAGAACTGTGTCCTAGCTGGGACTCAGTGTTGGTCATTGCTATTGGCAGATCTTACTCTTAGCACAGCTGTAGCCAGGTCAACCTTGGTGAGTGCAAGTAAGTGATACTATACTGAACCCATGCACAACCCCCATCTCTGCCACCTGGTCGCTTTGTTCGTGTGTCCATTGGGCAATGACAGGAATGGCTGGGGAGTGAGGCTGACTGTCTATAGAATGAGTCATCCTATCTACTTGATTACTGAACCCCTCCTCTGCTGACGTCACCTAATGATGAGCATTTACATGGGACACAAGCATCTTCACATCCTTTGCCGAACTGGCAAGATCTATCCACATACTTCTTCCCCAAATGTTTTTCTCATCAACTTTCAAATTATGTTCTTTCTGAGTCCCCGGCCATTCAGCTAGTCCGTTGGCTACAGCCCATGAACCAGTGGACAACTGTATACTGGCCATCTCTCCTTACAAACAAACTATATGACCATGTATACTGCCTGGAGTTCTGCCCACTGTGAAGATTTCCCTTAGCCAGTATCTTTCAGGGTTGTCCCTGAAAGAGGTTGTAATGCTGCAGCTGTCCACTGCTGGGTGGTACCTGCATAACGTGTAGAACCATCAGTAAAGTCAGCCCTAGTCTGCTCTTCTCAGTCAATAGATCAAAGGGAACACCCCATGAGACTAGGTGCATGCTTGGCAGCCCACAACATTGTAACAGGAGTGGAAACCAGAGGCATTTGGGCAACTTCTTCATGTAATTTGCTTGGGTTTTCAGGACCTGCTCAGGTCTGATCACATATATCCCACTACCACATGGATTGTACTAGATTGCTGCTGTGCACAATTTACTTCATGACTTGGTGAGTCCAGTAACACCCAGCTCATGATAGGCAATTCAGGTCGCATGGCAACTTGGTTGGCCCATTGTCAAATGTTTGTTTCTACTCAGGCCCAATAGCAGGTCAAGAGCTGCCTTTCAAAATGGAGAACAGTTGTCTGCAGATGATGGTAGAGCCTTGCTCCCAAATCCCAAAGATCTCTTCTGTGATTCACCTACGGACCTAAATTTCCAGAAGCACCTCGTCTGTCATGTTTGTAATAAAAGTACGAGTGATGTGAGCAGTTCAACTGGAGTGGTGGACCCAAGAGCCATGGCGGTGCTGGCAAAGGGACACAATTCCCACAGCATCAGAGACATCCTGCAGGAACTCAGTGCGTGGTGATGGCAAACAAAACAAAACAAACAAACAAAACAAAACAAAAATGGGGACAGAAAGAAAAAGGAGTGGGTACATATAGAGAGTAAGTATTCTCAAAACACATTTGATCCAGTAAAGGTGCCTGCTGCCTCCCTGACGATCTAGGTTGAATGCCCTGGACACACATGGTGGGAGGAGAGAAGTGATTCACATAGTTGTCTTTCCACTTCCACCTTCACCCCTCCCTCCGCAAACATGCCTCTAATTGCACATCTACACGCGTGCGCGCGTGTGTGTGTGCGCGCGCGCGTGCGCGCACGCACACACGCGCACACACACACACACACACACACACACACTAAGTAAAGATGTTAATAAATGTAAATTTAGAAAATCCCTTCTTAAACATAAAATGCAAAATTGAACAGAAAAACAACCTCAGGGGTTTACAGGAAAGCGAGCGACTCTGACTTGCACTTTTGTCTGGGGAACGCGAGTAGGAACCCTCATTGAACCATGGGCTGCGGTGGCAGCTTACCGAAGATAGATCTCAGCGTGCAATGGTTCAACTTAGGACGGTAACTTGTCAGTACCTGTTCTGTAAAACGGGTGCGCCACCGTACGGAGAAACCTGGAGTGACCAGTGTTGGGCGGTGCCATAAGGCAGGCGTGGCGCTGGAGTTGACTTCCGTCCCTGCCGATGCCCGAGGCACTTGTAGTCCGGTTGGACGATCAGAACTATGATCTTTTAGGATTCGGGCAGAGTGCTGCTTGATACCGACAAGCTACAGCTGGTGTAAGACACGGCCCTGGTAACTGCGGTCAGACCAGAGATGACCTGGTCGTACCATCGGTTGCGAGGCGCTGAGGGCATCGCTGAAGATGTATAGTGGACCACCTTTGGTGGTAGGGTTCTCTCACTGCAGCGAGAAATTTTTAGCGTAGATAAGAAATGTGTCTCTGTAAAGGGTTGTCGTTTAAAGCGCAGGCGTCAGTTGGAGATTAGAAGAAGGCTTCGGATCTTGTGGATCTGATGGTTGTGAATTGGTCCCCTCCCCCTACTCTCCTCCTCCTGTTTACCCAGGAGATCTCATCTATTTCTGCATCCCAGGGAAATCTTTATGTCCCTCTTAGGTCTTCTCTGGGGCTGTGAACTGTAGCCCGGCTATCCTTTGCTTTACACATAATATCTACTTATGAGAGAGTAGGTTTTAACTCCAGAGAAGGAATGCTTCAGGAACAAGATAGAGGAACCTTCTAAAGAGAGTGAGGGCAAATAGGCAAAAGGCAAAATCTTCCTTCTTCCGCGTCCTTTTGTGTGGGCTGCCACCAGAAGCTGAGGCCCTGATTTAGGGTGGGTCTACTCATCTCTTGTGATCCAATCAAGAAAATTCCTCAAAGGTGGGCCCAGCTTCTGGGTTTTAGTTCATTCCAGATGTAGTCAGACTGACAAGCACGATTAGCCATTACAATGGGCTAACGTTTCTCTTATGAGCCTTGATTCCTCCAATTTCATGCACTCCAACGATTTGTTCTTACTAACATTTGTTCTGTAATTGAGTCCTTTGTACATACTGATTTCTAGATTTCTTTTTTAAACTAAATGTTATCTTGGCTCAAATGTCACTTACAGGAGTCTTTCCTAGTGGGATCTGCTTGATGTGCTCCTAGCAGAATTAAAGAACTGTGTATTAGGGACTGTTTAAAGTGTGTGGTGTCATGTCCCATCATATTGCATTTTGGGGTCTGCCAAAGCACATCCAGGAAATGATTTTCCCTTATTTGTCAACACTGATGGGCATATCCTTAAAAATCTTTTTCCAGTTGTTTAATTTGTATGCTTCAGGCTGTTGGATTTTATAGTAGCATGGGTTTATAGCACTGGACAACCATTTGTAGCTCAAGCCATTTGGAGACTCTGCTGTCATGTCTCTGACAGTGCATATCAGGCTCGCGATAGGAAGATGAAGACATTGTGGGGCATTCATCAAAGTGGACTGTTCAGACCTGGGGTTAAGCTAATAGAAAGTCTTTATTAGCCGGCTGGCAACTACACTGGTTGCTGGGGATATTAGTGCAGCCCTGAACCTTTCTTGGGGTGAACTTTTTCTGGGTTGACATACTTCAGTTATCAAGAACAATGAGCCAGAAGCAGAACTACAGAGGCCCCAAAGCAAGATTAGTACATCTTGAGACTTTCTCAGAATTATATATTGTTTTAGTTTTGGCAGGTTGCTGCTGTCTATGTGCTGAGCTTTAGTGCCTGAATGGTACTTCCATCATGGAGTCAGCTGTGCTAAGGTCTGGGGCCCTGTTGCGAAAAGTGGTATTCCATGTTGAAGAAACCTTCCATGCAAAGACATGGTATCTGTCCTGTGAGAAATCTGCCTAGTGAGGTGAACCTAGCCACAGCCCCTCCCTTTCCCTTTCACACGTTTTGGGGATGTTACCAAGAAACAGGCTGCAGAGTGTTTGACATCCTGATGAGTTAAAGTACCGAGTCTATTCAGTTGTGAGGAGCCGAAGTTGCGTTGTCGTAACAGTGGTGATGTTTTCTCCTCTCCGCTGTGTTTTCTCACCAGTCACTCCCGAAGCCATCGGCTTCCTGTCTGCCGTAGGGGTCTTCGTTGTCCTGCTGGCTGTCCTCGCGCTCTTCATCAACAAGAAGCTGTGCTTTGAGACCATACGAGGCCACCCACACCTGGAACAAAGAGGCAAGAGAAAGCAGTCTCTGAGAGACAAGACTGGGGGCCCCCCAGGACTGGGTAAGCACCATGTTTTATGTTCTCCTGAGCCTGGCAACCTGTTGCTGCCATTTGAAGAGCTAAAACAGTGGCTCTCTTTCCGAGGTGTCCCCATAAGAATTCACAGCTGAACTGGCCTGCCATAGCTGTGGTGGATATGATAAACAGCACCGCCAAAGGACGCCTTAGCTCCTCCTGGTGTCCGTAGAGCTGACGGGGAGGACTTACCTCCACGCTCCATTCGCTCTGCTCTTTAGATCCTTAGCTTGAAGAATCCCCCCACCCCGCCACAGCGATCCTGGAGGAGAAAAAGTGTGTGTCAATGGGCAGGAATTAGAAGTGTTTTACCCTCGTGACGGAACAACGCGGACTTGGTGCTGAGTTAGCTGTTTTTGGAGATAGTCAGTGTTTGAGGGCCATTCCCATCTTGGAACACAGTAGTCCCCTTTCCAGAGAGAAAGTTTCAGTTTCCATAACTAACTCTATTTGATGAAGAGGAAATCATCCAAAGGAATAACTTTGTTTCCTTGAAGGACATAGTTTTTCAGTTAAGTATAGAATTTGGTCTTGGAGGACACCGTCACAGGGTCTGGGTTGCCACCCAGGGAGATTAGACATGGAAACGCTCTGACTCTTGGTAGCCAGATTCTCACCCTCCTCTCACATGCCCCTCCCCTCAGGTTATATGTTGTAACTGATCAAGGAGTAACATTGTATGCTCTTTGGGGGTAGGTCTAAGGCTGTAAGAACATACCTTCCAGTTCCAGGGGAGCTGTGGACCAAACAGAACATTTGGCTCATTTGATAGGGCAGCTTTTGTAGCCACAGATCATTGAGCTTTATTGGTAGTAGGGAAATACTTTAGACGTTTAAGCGGGCCAATTATCTATTGTGTCATGACAGACCACTCAAAACTTAATAGCATACATTTTATCTAAACTTTTTTGTCGTTTTGGAAACATAGGAGTGGCTTAGTTGGGTGTTTCAGATCAGGGTCTCTTAAGAGGCTGCAGGTAAGTAAGTCAGTGCGCACAAACCCTTGCAGAGTGGCTGGAGGCTCAGCTGCAGTTTTGTGGGTGCCTCCAGGGCTCCTCAAATTTTCGCAGCATAGCAACTGGTTTCTGAGCTCAAGAAAGTAAGGAGGAGCCCCAGTTCCCTTTTACAACCGCATCTACAAAGTCACATATTGTCACTTCTGTCCCCTTCTGTTTTTCACTGACTCTAGTCTACGCCCAGGGGACTGGGAATGAGGCTTCACTCTTGGAGGGACAGAGTATCAAAGAGGGTGCGAGCATGTTTTAGAGTCGTCACTGTAGAGGCCATCGCGGGCAAGGGTGTAGCGGTCGGCAGGTGATCGGTGCTACTACTGCTATCTTGCCCTTTTGAACTCCACCCGAAGCATCAGACTCATCTTTAGAAAGCAGAACAGATTAGTTTATGGAGTTTGTCATATACAACCAGGGACTTGTGGATCCTTTAGCCACTACTATCCCAGCTGGGCCTAGGTTAAGGGAGAAAAGCAGGTATTGCTTGGCCATAGTCTGATAAAGAGGTGGACTTCAGAATGATTCTTCTCCCTTGGCTCTGACTGCCACTCTGATGTGACCTTGATGAATGAGGAAACCATACTGACCTCCGGTCTCTCTTATCTGCATGTTGGGATTATTGAATCCCAGCAGGGTTGTCTTAGAATAAATGATTTATTTTGTAAAGGTTCTGGCATAGCATCTACCGTGAAGGTCCTTGTGGAACTTTAACTATAGTTGTTGAGCAAACAAGGAAACCTTCTGACACCGATGCCATATGCCAATACATCACATTCTTTACTTAAGCTGGGAGGTTGAGGCTGCCGAGGTGTTTGCCTTTGCAAATGGTAATGACTAGGACTGAGGTTGGAGCTGTTTGAAACACCCCCTTTTTCTCTTGTTTTACTTGCTAATTTTGAGTGTTTTAGGGGCAATTCTTAATTATACCTGCAAAAGCATCTAGATTTTAAGATCACACTGGAACACTAATGAGAAGGCGCACAGTAGTGAAGAGTTGCAGTCAGACCCAGGGCAGAATCACCAGGAGGGGCTTCTTCAGATGACCCTGAGAAGCCAACGCCTTCCTTTGACATCGCTTCTCTGAAAGGGTTCATTGTCATGGATCAGAAGTCACGGAAAACACACTTCTCTTCAACATTTTACCTTAACCTTTGATATTTTCTTTAATTGTCATCTAGAGTGTACTAATCTCTCCATGAAGTCAGGATGTTCCTTACATATTTTGACAAGCATTAAGGAAGGAAGGCAGCCCCGTGTGGTGGAGAGAAGCCTGGGGCAGACCCTTGGAGCTTGCTTTGCTGCTAATTGGTCACACAGTATTTTGGGAAATCCACTTCACCTCTCTGGGCCTTAAGTCCTCATTTGCAAATTGATAAGTATGGACTAGTTTCTCCCAGCTCTCTTTCTGTGATCCTATTTGGCTCATAGGGTTGCCATAGCAACTTCTGGGGCTCTGTGAGTGGAAGAGACCTAATAAGAAAGATTAAACATCATCTAGGCCATCCTACTCTTAGATGGTACTGTATGAAACTGAAAAATTTAAGGACTAAAGAGATGGCTTTAACACCCACAACTAATTAACCATTAATCCACGCAAGGGGTTGAAACATGAGAGAAGTCTCTTAACTCATCTGGTGCTGTCAGAGATGAAGGAGCAGTGGTTTGTTTTCTGCATCTGCTGTGCAAAACAATTTGCCCGACAAACACTGCATCTTCTTCTAGGCTATGTGTTTTTCCATAGTCAGAGGTCTACTCGTATCACGGTGCCTGGAATTAGAAGGGAGAAGACGTGGTGAGACGGTATCTTCCTAGTAACACAGGCAGGAGCAGTGACAGCTGGCAGCTGACATTTATTTAGCACTCCCTATTGCTGTGGCCAGACCCAGTATTCCACATGTGTTATTTGCTTTCTTTATTTAAGGTGCTGTGTGAATCCCTGGGAGTGATTATTTTGGGGGAACTATCACTTGGAACAAAGAAGACATTCTTCAACTTGGAGATGAGAAATTGATTGAAAATATAATCCCACAGTGAGAGGAGGGGGGGGAGGGAAGGAGGGAGGGGGGGGAGAGAGAGAATATAAATCAACTAAATGGATTTTATTTTGTTTCTTCTGAAGCATTGTTTTTTGAGACAGGGTTTCATGTAGCCCATATTGACTTTAGACTTGTGGTATAACAGAATTATCTTTAATTTTTTATTATTAAGCATGTTTTTTGTGTGTTTATAAATATCAAAGATTTTTGTTGCATGTGCCCATGATTACCAACATAGGTGGAGATCAGGGAGCAACTTGTAGGATGGTTCTAGCCTTTTGACATGTGAGTTTTGTGGCTCCAACTTGGATCATCAGCCTTGGCAATAAACACCTTTCTCTGATGTGAGCCATCCCACTGGGCTCCCAAGAATGACCTTACTCTTCTGATCCTCACCCAACGGATCTACAACCCCAGCCCCATCACTTTAAGGGCTCTGCACTTTCCTTGTTAGTTGTGCTGTCCTCACAGCGTGACTGACCACCAAGAGGCACGTGGGTACTTCCCAGGCACAGCTGTCAGGACAGAGGTTCATTCCTCTCCTCCATAGTAGCTAGCAGGAACAATGCATTAGGGTAAATCAGCTTTGATCTATGCTGCAGTGTTGTCTGCTTTCAATGATCACTGGCAGTGAGGGTAGAACCCTCAAGACCAGATTCTTTATCCAGAATGAAACGGATTCAATCACATTGAGTGGACAAGTTGAGAGTTTACTTTCTCAATGCACAATGTGGAAAAGGGCCTCCAGAGAAAGAAGGATGCAGGGTGGGGTGGGATCCCCTACATAAGAATAAAAGGAGAAAGAGTTTTTATATTTAAGTAAGCGGACGCATAGCTGGTACTCAGTAGACAGGCTATGGCAGCTGGTACTCTGAAATGAAGTTGTTGAAATGTTTTCTCTTAGCCTGGTGGTGGTGGCACATGCCTTTTATCCCAGCACTCAGGAGGCAGAGGCAGGAGGATCTCTGTGAGTTCAAGGCCAGCCTGGTCTACAAGAGCTAGTTCTAGGACAGGCTCCAAAGCTACATAGAAACCTTGTCTCGAAAAACCAAAACAACTCTTTGCAGTTTCTAAAAGGCTCTGAATGGTCCCTTCTGAGCCCACTTCCACCTCCTCATCCTTATCTGCAACTGTGTGATTATTTGCTGGTCTAGCAGAGCACCCCTACGTACCCCTGCAGTGCCTTCTACTTGGGCTATAATAACTGCTATGTTTTTTTTTGGTCACATCTATGCATTTAGGTTATAATATGTTTAAGTAGATATTTCCCATGATGTAGCTCAATGAATAAATCTATTTATCATCTGTTTTTACCAGCAAAGAAGCTATGACTTACAAAGATGAATGTTTCTCCTAGGCCAGTGCTCAACCTTCCAAATGTTGTGACCCTTTAATACAGTTTGTTCCTCATGTTGTGGTGATTCCCAACCATAAAATTATTTCATTGCTGCCTCATAACTGTAATTTTGATACTATTATGAATCGTAGTGTAGATATCTGATATGCAACCCCCAGGTTCAGAACTACTGCCCTAGGCTATTCTTAATTTCTGTTTCTCTACTTTGTCACCTACCCAATTCAACCCCCTTCATCATGCTTTTCCATGAATATGGGTGTGATAGAAATTGGACAGGTGGGTTTGGGGGTGCATTCCTTTATGCAGCTGCTATTGTAGATTGCTGCACACTTGGTGTCTTAGTGGAAGTTTTTTCTGGTGCAGTGCAATTCTGGATCTGATTCTGACTTGAAGTTAGGATACTCACAAGGCCACACTCCTCCTATGGGTTTCAGGGAAGTCTACTCCCTGCCCCTCTCCTTGTCTGGTGGCTGCCATTGACCTTAGCATCCATTTGCTTGTACTCGAATCACTCTGGCCTCTGCTTCCAACTTCACATCACCCCTCTCTCCTTAAAACTTAAAAAGGAACCAAAGGAAAGAA